TGTCCTCGCTACAGTGCTTATTTCAATATTGTATTTCGTCCTATCTATGGCATTTAATTCACTTTCGTATCTTGTCCTATCCATAGCATTTATTTCACTGTTGTATTTCGTCCTATTTATTGCAATTATTTCACTATTGTATCTTGTCCTATTCCTACGTATTTGTACTGCCTGTTTTCTAATGTGTTGAAGAACTTTACAGCGAGAGAATACAAAGACAGAGAGAAGAAGTTTTTTTTTAAAGTACAGAAAAGTATAAAAATCAGTAGAATACAAAGACAGATGAAGACAACAAACAAAAACAAAAACAGGGAGAAGTGTAGAGGAGAGCTGAGAGAAAGGTGCGCTTACTTGAGAGCTGTGGTCTTGCCCTGTATGGCAGAACTGTAGAAATCTTCCACCGTCTCTGCCTCTGTGAACGCTCGAACACACTCGGAGAACGCGATCACTGGACGCACAATGCTCTTTGGGTCACTGGGGACGGAAAGACAGACAAACTAACATTACCAGTGGCAGACTAGCAGAAGCACAATGCTCTTTGAGTCAAGGTGTATGTTTAATTTTAGTAAGAGTTTTACCGCATTTGCAACACAATTAGATCATAGAAGTGCAGAAGATGAGAGGTGTTACAAGAGAGTATCAAACATAAAAAAAGGAGAGATCAGGCCAACAGATGTTTGATAGTGCAAACCACACCAAAAAAACCGCCAACCACCCACATACAATGGTTTAAACCCATAACTTCTCATTTACAAAATGGTTTAACCCATTACACGTTACTTACACAAATGTTTAACCCATTACCTCCCACTTACACAAATGTTTAACCCATTACCTCCCACTTACACAAATGTTTAACCCATTACCTCCCACTTCCACAATGGTACAACCAATCAATTCTCACTTACTTAATGGTTAAACCCATTACCTCCCACTTACAAAATGGTTTAACCCATCACCCGTTACTTACACAATGGTTTAACACATAACCTCCCACTTACTTAATGATTTTACCCATTACCTCTCACTTACACAAATGGTTTCACCCATTACCTCCTATTTACACAATGGTTTAACCCATCACCACACACTAAGACAATTGTTTAACCCATCACCACAACTAACACAATGGTTTTTTAAAACCCATCATCACCCACTTACACAATGGTTTAACCCATTACCACCCACTAAGACAATGGTTTAACCAATCACCACCCACTAACACAATGGTTTAACCCATCATCACCCACTTACACAATGGTTTAACCCATTACCTCCCACTTACACAATGTTATAGCCCATTACACGTTACTTACAGGATTTAACCCATTACACATTTCTTACACAATGGTTCAACAAATTACACATTACTTACACAATGGTTCAACAAATTACACATTACTTACACAATGGTTCAACAAAGTACACATTACTTACACAATGGTTCAACAAATTACACATTACTTACACAATGGTTCAACAAATTACACATTACTTACACAATGGTTGCCCCAGCAGCTTTGGACTCGTTGTATTTCCTTACTTCCTCTGAAAACACACAGAAGAAAACACACTCATAAACACACACGCTAGAACTTACAGAAATAAAAAACAGTTATAAACACACACACACTATAACTTACAAAAAACAAAACACACAGGAGAAAACAAACTAATAAACACACATGCTAGAAAACACAGAAAACTCTGCTGCCATCTGTTTGTTTGTTTTAGTAGAGGTTTTACGGCGCTCGCAACTGCATAAGGTCATATGAGCGCCAGAAGATTAGAGGTGTTACAAGAGAGTAACAAACATAAAAAAGAAGAAGGGAAGATAAGGACGACAGATGTTTGATAGGAAAGAAGAAGCAGACCACACCAGAGCACCCGCCAACCACCCACTCTGCCACCTGTCGTGCAACAATAAAGTAGTGAGTGCCACTGTGTGGCGTCCATGGTCTGGTGGTTAGAAAGGTTGGGCCAGAAACTGAAAGGTCATGGGTTCTAATCCTGTCACGGTCCCGATTTGTGTCTTTTGGAAAGGCTCTGTACATGAATCTTCCTCACTTCACCCAGGTAGGAATGGGTACTTGGCGACAGACAGACACACCCACAGACATACAACACAGACACACACTAAGAAACACATATTAACAAATACACACAAACAAACACAAACACACACACCTTTATTCAACACAGCCTCCATGGGTACTGCCATGGATAGACACACACACAGACATACACACACAGACAGACATACACACACACACACATACCTTTATTCGACACAGCCTCCAAGCGTACTACCACAGACATACACAGACACACACACAGACATACACACAGACATACAAACAGACACACACCTTTATTGGACACAGCCTCCATGGGTACTGCCACGGATAGACACACACACAGAGACACGGACACACAGACATACACACAGACACACAGACATACACACACACACACACACACACCTTTATTGGACACAGCCACCATGGGTACTGCCACGGATAGACACACACACAGAGACACGGACACACAGACATACACACTCACACACACACACACCTTTATTGGACACAGCCTCCATGGGTACTGCCACGGATAGACACACACACAGAGACACACACACAGAGACACACACAGACATACACACAGACCTTTATTGGACACAGCCTCCATGGGCACGGGCAGGGATAGACAGAAGTCCTCTCTGCGAGTGTAGCGAACCCTCTGGGAGGAGGAACAAGCAACGCGTTCTTCCACCTCAAACCGGAACGACTCACAAGGATTCGCGCCGCCCCGGCTGTTTTTCTGAAAGAAAGAAAAATAAATTAATTAATTAAAAAATTCCCAATAAAAACTGAGCAAGGCTTTAGATTTAGTAAGAATTTAGCTTAGATTTAGTAAGAATTTAGCTTAGATTTAGTAAGAGTTTTACAGTACTTTTAACACAAATAGGTCATACGAGTGCCAACGATTAGAGGTGCTGCAACAGAGTAACATACAAAGAAAAGAAGGAGGAGAGATAAACATGATTGATGTTTGACAGGAAGGAAGGAACAAAATACACCAGAGCATCCACCAATCACGCACTAAAAAAAGGTAATGTATGTAATAACAAAAAAAACAACCCAAAACAACAAACAAACAAAACAAAAATAACCAAAGCAAAAATATTCTAGAAAATCAGTTACAAGTCCAAGCTAGACCACAACTTGAGAAGCAACAGCAAACCTGTCGGATATAAACTAAACACACAGCCTCTACAGCCTGCAAAAGCCTAAAAACAGCATTTACAAATATCAACAGCCAAAAAACAACATTCACATATATCAACAGCCAACAAACAGCATTTACAAATATCAACAGCCTAAGAACAGCATTTACAAATATCAACAGCCTAAAAACAGCATTTCCAAATATCAACAGCCAACAAACAGCATTTACAAATATCAATAGCCAACAGATAGCATTTACAGCTTTCAAAAGAAACAACGGTATAATGCAGACCATGTGTAGGAAGTGGGAGAGAACCAAACAAGTGAACCCACGAACCTGCATAACTGAGACCATGTGTACGAAGAGGAAGAGTTTAGTTTTAGTAGAGGTTTTACTGCACTCGCAACTGCATAAGGTCATACGAGCGCCAAAGTGAGAGAGAACCAAATATGTGAACCTGGGAACCTACGAACCTGTATAGTGGAGACCACGTGTAGGAAGTGGTAGAGGACCAGAGAACCAAACATGGGAACTTGAGAACCCACGAACCTGTATAACGGAGACCATGTGTAGGAAGTGAGAGAGAACCAAACATGTGAACCCATGAACCCACGAACCTGTATAACGGAGACCATGTGTAGGAAGTACTCTTGCGCGTCTTGCTGTCTCTTGGTGGAGAACTCCGGGTGACCTTTGCCCACCAACGTCTTGAACATCTGAGGGCGGATTCCGCTGGGGGGCTGCCGAAAGGAGAAAAGGTCATTAGCACTGACTCTGACTGGCTCCGCCAAAACACAACCTCCCCCCCCCAAAAAAACCCCCACAAAAAACAAACAAACAAAAAAACCCCAAAACAAACTATATACAAACTATTGAAAAATGTATTTTACGTTGCTTCCAGGTCATTACAACTAACTGTCCGTATCTCCCTCATAAAAATGAGTTGATGTTTGCGACAGCCAGAATTCCGCGGAGAGAAAACTATGGGGACTTGGTCGTAAACCACAGCCCCACACACCAAAACAAAGACTCAGGAGCTAAGAGAAAGCAACGGGAATTGAACCCAAACTTACTGGAATGTACTTGGCATCCCCTTCTGAAGCCTCTTTGGTATCTCTGAAAAACACAAACAGCTTTCAAATGACAGAAAAATTTGGGAATTTTAAAACAAAATAAAGTTCAACAACATCATTCCACAAGTAAAACATTGCACTGGCACAGATAAGCTAAAGATCTCAAATGGTGAACTTGTGTTGAAGAGCTGAAATTCTCAGATGTAGAACTTATTCCAATAGGTTGAAAAATTGCACAAATAAACAGATGCACATTGGCTAAAATCTCAAACAGTAGGCTTACATCTATCGGTTGAAAATCCGAAATGTTAACACTTTCACTAATTGGCTGCAAAGTTCAAACATTAAAACTTACACTGATTGGCCGAAAAATTCAAACAGTTAAACTTACACTGATGGGCGGAAAAGTTCGAACAGTAAAACTTACACTGATTGGCCGAAAAATCCAAACAATAAAACTTACACTGATTGGGAATATACACCAGAGAGGAGACCATCTGCCAGCTTGGTCCTGTAAACAAACAACAGACAAGCATTTGACAAGACAGAAAACACCAGGCATCAAACAACAGACAAGCATTGTACAAGACAGAAAACATCAGGCATCAAACAACAGGCAAGCATTTGAGATGACAGAAAACATTAGACATCAAACATCAGACATTTAACAAATATTTTGCATGACAGAAAATATCAGACAAATGATTTACACAACAAACAGACAAGCATTTGACAAGACAGAAAACATCAGACATCAAACAAATATTTTGCATGACAGAAAAGATCAGACAAATGTTTTACACAACGAAACATCCGACAAGTATTTGACATGACAAAAAACACCAGACAAGTATTTGACATGACAGAAAACACCAGACAAGTATTTGACATGACAGAAAACACCAGACAAGTATTTGACACAGCAACAAACATTGTGTATTCAAAACAACCACCCACACAGACATAAACAAAGAACAAAAAGAAAGAACCACCCACACAGACATAAACAAAGAACAAAAGGAAAGAAAAGAAGAAGGACCTACCCAGTAACACCCTTTAACCACCCACACGGACAGAAACAACAGAGGGAGGGTAAGTAAGAACGAACTACCAGAGGCACCCTCCAACCACCCACATGTACAGAAACAACACAGTGAAATTTAAAAAGAAAGACCTACCAGTGACAACCTCCAGCCACCCACACGATGATACTAAACACATACAAGGTATAAAAAATATAAAAGAATACTTACATCTGTGTGTTGAAGTCAGAGACAGGATTCTGGGGGGCGTTGGACACAATCTGTCCACAGTTACTGAAGTACCTGAAATCAAAGACAATCAAAACTAGACATAATTTGTCCACAAGGACTGAAGTACCTGAAATCAACGACAATCAAAACTAGACATAATTTGTCCACAGTTACTGAAGTACCTGAAATCAAAGACAATCAAAACTAGACATAATTTGTCCACAGTTACTGAAGTACCTGAAATCAAAGACAATCAAAACTAGACATAATTTGTCCACAATGACTGAAGTACCTGAAATCAAAGACAATCAAAACTAGACATAATTTGTCCACAGTTACTGAAGTACCTGAAATCAAAGACAATCAAAACTAGACATAATTTGTCCACAGTTACTGAAGTACCTGAAATCAAAGACAATCAAAACTAGACATAATTTGTCCACAGTTACTGAAGTACCTGAAATCAAAGACAATCATACTTTATACAATTTATCCACAATGACTGAAGTACCTGAAATCACAAACAATCAAATTGGAGATCCTTACGACCAACAACCAGACATCAGTCGACAATTTTATGTCGCACATTATCAACACTGTTTGTAAACACAGGGGGGAAAAAAGGATCTTGTCTATAAAATTGCCGAAGGGCTAGAACCCAAATGGCCGCTGGATCGGAAAAGTAAAGTAAAGTAACTCTATAAACTTGCTGTAAATGTAAGTGTTTTTACGTCCTCCATCGACACAATTTATATAATTCAGGAGGCATGCCTCTGATCCTGCCTGTCAGGGCCAACCCGTGCTGAGAGAGATACAACATCCCAGGAGAAAGACCGAGACACTCGATAAAAAAAATACTCCCCACTCAGGAATCGAACTCGGGTATCTCCTGCGTGCAATAAAGAAGCACCTAACCGCAACACAACGGACACTGATCATTTGTCATTGTTTCTGAATCACAGAAACTGTTCCCCGTGTCAAGAGATAATAATAATAGATAGCATTTGTATAGCGCATATCCCCGCTCAACAGCAGGCTCTATGCGCTTTACACTATATTATTACCCCAGCAGACCATAGAACATTCCGAAACATTCTCAGCTTCCCGGGAAGCATACAGTGCAAGCAGCCGATTAAGCGCTCAAACACTAACAAACTGACAAGATCTTTCGCTGTCTATAGCCGGGTACCCATTCCCACCTGGGTGAAGTGAGGAAAATTCGTGTAAAGTGCCTTTCCCAAGGACACAACGTCGGGCCCCTGACGGGATTCGAACCCACGACCTTACGGTTGCGAGTCCGAGAGCCTAACCTCTAGGCCACCGATACATTCAATCAACACTGTTATGTCCAGATGTATCTGACATCTGAAACCTCCAAGTACAAAATGGCAGATAGAAGCAAAGAGTCTACATAACAAGAGGGGCCACTTCTCTCTTTGAGCCAATTAAAAAAGTGTCCTCAAATTTCGGTGGCGCCCTCTTCGCAAAAGCGCACCTTTGGCGAACAGAGTTATCCTACTTGAGTTTAAAAAATCAAAGTGAAACTAGCAAGTTTTTTAATGAATTTCGGAAGAACGCTTTTTTAAAATGGTTACGCTGACAAAAAAACCTCTTTCGGAGGAAAGGGTGATTGTTTTCTTCGTTTAATTTGACTTTAGAATGAAAGGCGAGAGGTCATTAACATTTTTAAAAACTAAAACTCCGTACTGAACGAACCCGAACTGCTGATGAACAGCAGTCGATCTACGCACGCAAGGAGGTGCTATTCCTATTCTTCTTCTGGAAAAACGAAAGAGAGCTTTAAAACAGACTGCAGCGCCATCTGAATCGAAGAGCATACTTCCTGCGGACACTTTTTTGGCTGAGTGGCCCATCTTGTTATTTATTATCTTTGATAGAAGACAGATCCACCACTTTCAACAATGCTATGTTCAACATCGATACATTCAATCAACACTGTTATGTCCAACACCTCTATGTTCAACACCGATACATTCAATCAACACTGTTATGTCCAACACCTCTATGTTCAACACTGATACATTCAATCAACACTGTTATGTCCAACACCGATACATTCAATCAAAACTGTTATGTCCAACACTATTATGTTCAAAACACACTGTGTTTGATACTTCCTACATTCAACACCACTATGTTCACTGTGTGCAACACATAACCAGTGACTGATTAACTCACTTCAGACGGGTCACACAACAGTTGCGTGACCCCCGCCATGACGCTCGCGACGGATCTCACAAGCCCTGCGTGACCAACTTTGGAATTTTTTTTTCGCTCTACAAATCACGCACGGATCGCGAGACCCGCCTCGTACCCTTGTTTGGCCAAGCCTGAGCTACTTAGACTTCGTTTCGTATCTCTGGGGCCGGTAGTTTTTAAGTTATTGAAGGTGAAGGACAGTGACCCCAACTAGGGTTGAACAGACCGGAACTCGCGCTTTGTTTTTTTCTATACAGCTCATAGTAATCCGACAGTCGCGTCGTAGTAACGGTCGAAGAAGTCGCATGAACAAGAATCACATAATTTCGTTGTTTTCTATACTTCTGTGCGTTTTACTAGTTCTAGTGTCTCAGAATATGATGTGTCTAATAGTTAGGATCCTGGATATGTCCCCGAACACGGCCTGAGTCGTAGTTCTAGGGCTAGATCTAGCACTAGTACCGGTGTTGTTTTTCGCGCAACGAAATCACAACCTCGTGCCGTACATCTGTCTCATGTAATTCAGTGTATGGGTCTGAATCAATGCACAGACCAGCTTTTATATTTTCACCAAACACTTGCACATGTATACAAATAAAACCAGAACACTTTGAACTTTTATTTTTGTTGTTGCAGTGAATTTCATTCTACTTGTCACGTCTCTGGAAATTTTTCGAAAATCAAATTCATGCCAATTTTTAAAAAATCATACAAATTAAAGTATTAGACTTAGACAAGTTTAGTTTTTTGTATTAGATTAAGCTTGAGTGTTACTTTACTGTGTCAAAAAATGATTACAATAGGGTAATTCTGAGAGTTGTGGTGATTTATTGAAATACCCCCCAAAACGCCAGTCTTCAACGCTTGTGACTGGTGAAAGGGCCCAGTCGCAAGTGAGTTAATGGGACAGGACAGTTTTTAGTTTCCGTAAGAAATTTACGGCACTTGCAAAACAGACAGGTCATATAAGTGCCAAAGATTACTAATGAGTAACACACACAAAAAAGAAGGAGAGATAAGGATGATAAATGTTTCATAGAAAAGGCAGAGGGGAGATAAGAACAACAGATATTTGTCAGAAAAGAAGGAACAAACCACAGTACAGCACCTGCCAACCACCCAGAGCAGAGCCCCCCACCAACCACCCCAGCAGGTCACCCGCCAACCGCCCACTGACCGTTTCTGAAAGTCTGGCAGCGTAAAGAGGACCTGCATGACCGAGTTCATGTAACAGCTGTTGCCTAGGTTACGCATGCCCGTGTAGCCAGGCCCGTAGACTGGGGTGAGCACGCTGCCGGCCTCCTGAATCACATCCCACTCCCCGATCTTCTGGTTGATGTCAATCTCCAGTTCCGTCATGGTCTTGTCTGTCTGTGGGAGAGAGAGAGAGAGAGAGAAAGAGGTACATAGAAGGGAGAGATGAGAGAGAGAGAAAGAAAATGTAGGAGGGATGAGGGATGAGAGAGAGAGAGGGAGAGAGAGAGAGAGAGAGAGAGAGAGAGAGAGAGAGAGAGAGAGAGAGAGAAACACATAAGGAGGTACAGAAGAGAGGAGTTGGTTTGATGAAATGAAAAACACTGACTACAAGAAAACCACTGGAAAACCTCCAATGCTTACTACAAAAATGAAAATTTTATATTTCATGACAAAAATGATCATCAAATGGAAATTTTTCTTGTGTATCCTAAAGCCCAACCTGCTTTAACGGCCACCCGTATAAGACAATCACCTGTACAAACGGCCACCTGTATAAGACAATCGCCTGTACAAACGGCCACCTGTATAAGACAATCACCTGTACAAACGGCCACCCGTATAAGACAATCGCCTGTACAAACGGTCACCTGTATAAGACAATCACCTGTACAAACGGTCACCTGTATAAGACAACCACCTGTACAAACGGCCACCCGTATAAGACAATCACCTGTACAAACAGCCTCGTGTATAAGACAATCACCTGTACAAACGGCCACCCGTATAAAATAATCACCTGCAAAAACAGCCTCGTGTATAAAACAATCACCTGTACAAACGGCCACCCGTATTAGACAATCACCTGCACAAACAGCCACCTGTATAAGACAACCACCTGTACAAACGGACACCTGTATAAAACAATCCCCTGCACAAACGGCCACTTCCCATGTCCCCCTTGCACATTTGTTACATTACAATGACACTGTGTAAGATGTTCACCTGTCTAAGACAACCACTTTTCTCCTCAACTATAGGTGGCCGTCTTACTTAGACAATTTCCACTGTGTTTACTCATTTTTCAGGGAAAAATTTAATTCTGATCCTCTTCATGGCTTTTTAGGACCTTCAGTGTGCCATTTTAGTTTAGTTTTAGTAAGTGTTTTACGGCACTTGCAACACAATAAGGTCATATAAGCGCCGAAGTTTAGAGGTGTTACAAGAGAGTAACGAACACAAAAAAGAAGGAGGGGAGATAGAGATGATAGATTTTTTATAGGAAAGAAGAAGCAAACCACACCAAAGCACCTGCCAACCACCCACTGATACATATTTGATAAGAAAAAAGGAGCAACCCACAGCAGAGCACCCGTCAACCACCCACATACCTTCTCCAGCGCGGCCATGTTGATACCGAAGTGCGCCAAGTGTTTGGCCAGGTATGGGTCCTCCACCATATCGTCCTCTTCATAGGAGAACACATCTGTGGATAAACACAAAACACCCTGGTCATACATCTGTGGATAAACACAACAACACACCCTGGTCATAGGAGAACACATCTGTGGATAAACACAACACACCTTGGTCATAGGAGAACACATCTGTGGATAAACACAACAACACACCCTGGTCACACATCTGGGGATAAACACAACACACACTGGTCACAGAAGAACACATCTGTGGATAAACATAAACACAACACACACTGGTCACAGGAGAACACATCTGTGGATAAACATAAACACAACACACACTGGTCACAGGAGAACACATCTGTGGATGAACACAACACACACTGGTCAAACATCTGTGGATAAACAACACACACTGGTCACACATCTTGTTTTATGTTTTAGTAAGGTTTCGCGGCACTCGCAACTGCATAAGGTCATATGAAGAGCGCCTAGGGGTGGATGTCAACAGAGAAGTCCAAACGGGGAACCAGGCTTACTCTGCTCACCTCATTAGCACAAAGTCTGCTTCCCTATCAAGGCACCCCAGAAATAGCAGTTCACAAGAACATTGACAAACATACAAAACAAGTATAGAGGTAAAGTGATGATAGTAAGGATGAGGAAAGAAAAAGCAGCAGTTTCCTTTAAGTTGTTTCGGCCCAGTAAGAGCATGACATTGATAAATCAGCCCATAAGAACATATTAATATGTTAATATCCCCCCCCCCCCCTCCCACCTTTGGGAAAGGCCTAAAGACAGGTTGAGATCCCAATAGCAGGGGAACGCAAAGAAGAAGGAGCAGCAATTTTCAAGTGATTTTCCACCATGACAAAGCAAAACAACCTTATTTCGTTTACGTAACTAACTTCTGGCATCTATAAAAATAGGATTTGGGACCCAAAAAAAAACAATTTTTTAAAAGAGTGTTGAGAACAAAAATGTTCAGGAAACAACCGGCAAGACACACAAACAAACAAACCTGCAGTTGTGCCCGTGATGGTGCCCAGTTTGACGGCCAGAGGGTAGCCCACCTCCCGGTAATGTTCCAGCGCGTGGTTGTTGCCCCCCGAACCATCGAAGAACTTCCGGCCACATAGGATGGAGCCGTCCGTCAGGTTGAGCCAGAGGTTACAGGTCAGATCACACTTTTCACACTTCCAGCCCGACGGGGGGATCTTCTTCTCCACTGGCAGCTGAAGCAGGTTCTCCGCGTGTCTGTCAACGCAGGTAGATACAGGATTTGTTTACTGTCAACTCAGGTAGATACAGGATGTGTTCTATTTCAATGCAGCAAGAGACGGGATTTTTATTTTTATCGCAGGTAGATATAGCATTTGTTTATTGTCAACGCAGGTGGATACAGGATTTGTTTACTGTCAACGAAGGTAAATACAGGATTTTTCCATGTCAACGCAGGTAAAGACAGGATGTTCACTTTTGTTGCAGTTAGATATAGCATTTATTAACTGTCAACGCAGGTAGGTACAGGATTCGTTTATTGTTTACTGTCGACAATATCGTTTTCACCCTACGTCAGTGAACACAGGAAGATATAGCAACATCAACAACAGCAACAACCACCACAACAACAACAACTACCACAACAAGAACAAGAACTCACTTCGACACCCTCAGTTTTTCCCCCTCCCACGTTCCCGCCATGGCCGCGGCCTCCTCCTGTTTGGCTGCATCCTCTGCCATCATAATCATGGTGGCTGACAGCTGGGCCTGGGGGGAGAAGGGGACGGGGAGGAGAGGGGGGGGGATTGGGGTGTTCAATAAGCATTAACTATTAATTCAAGAACACAGACAGTTGCCCAATTCTTTGCAACTCATAACAGAAAACTCTGCATAAATGAGAAATTATGTGGTTCATAGATAATGTTGAGAAAAAGAAACACCTCTACATTTTTCACTTTGGAGTAAAATATATCCTTTCACTCCTAGCACTTTTGTACTCTTCATCAATAGAAGTTAGACCCCTTGGAATATATATTAATGCCTCTGTTTTTTCTCTTTGTCAAGCAACAGAGGTCACAAATCATTATGAAAAAAATCTGGAACTTTTCAGATCCCAAGAAAATGTATGCAAGGGGACTCAAAATGTACAGATTATGATGTATAGATTGCAGTCTGACGAGTAAAAAGATATGAAAATATAAGTACAAGTACAAACAGCAGTGCATCACTAAATCCATATTCTCAGAGACCCGGATTCCTGGATTTATCAGTAAAATCGGTACCTCAGATACAAATAAAGTAGCAAGCAGCAATCAGAACCAGATATTTACAATGATGATGATAATAATAACAACAATAACAATAATAATAATTATTATTATTATTATTATTATTATAGTAATAAGAATATTAATAAAAATAATACATAGTATTTGTATCTCACAAACAGCACACTCTGTGAACTAAGAGGACAATCTGATATAGTTACCTGATCAGGGATCTGTGGGTTGGGGAAGGCGATCTCGTGCCACTGGGGCAAGATGGTGATGGACGTTTTCTCCTCAAACTCAAATCTTTTCTCATCTGTTTGGAAGCCACCTTCCACTCCTGAAAGAAATTCATCATAAACAACCTCATGTATATTATGTTAATTATGTTAATATTCACCTTTTACACGTAATAAATCTTTACCACCTTACTAGAAATATCTCACATTCCAAATCTACTAATTTAATGTAAAAAAAAAAAAAAAGAAGATTCTGGCAGGACACAAACCATACAATCTTTTAATTCATATGGCACATATAAGAATAAGAATGGGAGAATGGAATACATTAGGTTAGGAAAGGAGAGAAGATGGGGGAGGAGAGAAGAACCCTTCTACAACAATCTATACACCACACAGTGATAAAAAGCCTCCTAAAAACATCAAGAGAAAACAGCTAGACTAATAAGAATCTCAGTACTGACTCCAGAGTCCTTTAGAATGAAATATGAAAGACAATTGGACTAAATTGTAGTAGGTGCAAGGTTTGACAGACTCAAGAAGGTCCCCGGTAAATCAATAAATAGATGGTGTCTGGCACAAATTGGTTATTTCCCAGGAAGCCTATTTTACAGCGAACGCTAAAATCTGTTGAGTTCAACCATCACAGACCACTTCAACTCAAAAGTCAAGTCCATGTTTCATGCAATTCTACTCGCTGAATTTCTCCACCATTTATTGAGATGTCTTTGACCCTGCTTTACAACATCGTTTGGAGAAAATTTAGCAGTTGGCCTACTGAGCCCTGAGCCCGACACCAACGGAATAGCAGTACTGATCTCACCGATGGCCATCTTGGTTGGCTTTTCCTCCTCAGCCGTCTCATCTTTGGGCACCTGGCAAACATACATTTTTGTTTAAAATTATATTATTTGATCTCTCCATGTGAACAGCCAAAACAAAAATTAAATACAAAAAATCTTTCAGGTTGCAACAAAATGAGGCCCCCTGAGTTCATAAACAAATTACAGTTCCACATAAAAGTTCAACCGCATATATATTAACTTAGACTGAATCTCAAATTCATATTCACCGAGTGGGAGTGCCAGACAGTTCATCACTGAATAAATATGGGAGACGTTTTATTGCGCAATTCAGACAGGGAATAGCAGATTGTACCACAGCTGTCTATGAATTCAAGTTTTGCACAGTTTTTGCTCGATTGTATTATTCACCACTTAATTCTCAAAGTAGAAGTTATAGTTTGCTAGCAGTAGTAACACTACTAGACATGCTGCGAGCTAAACAAAAGTATCATTAAAGACTTTGTTGTATAATAATTTTCCACTTACACAGGCACAGATATTTAACATTTCTCTCTACTTTTTTCAATCTGGTGGCTTCCTTCTGTAAAAGACGACCCCCCCCCCCCCCCCC